AGTCTATCAGACTATACAACCAGACTGTGTAAACGTGTCATATCTGGGATGCCCTGTTGATTTAATGTATATATTTTAATAGTATGTATATATGTGTAATATATGTTATGTACTTATCTTGCTGTTATTACTGTAAATACCAATGCCATTCAGGCAACACATATTTTTGTATGTCTGCAACGTTGGTATGAAATAAAGAATTGAATTGAATTGAATTGAGAAGAAAGGTGGCACCTGTGTCGGTGAGGAAAGCTTGTTACTAACAAACTCAGCAGCGCTAGATGAACAGTCGTACATAATCAGTGCAAGTTATCTACCACATGTTCTTTCCGGAAAAGTTAGGTGTTTCGGTAATCAAGGCTTACTACTTTCAGTTTTCCACCGAATTTTAACAAAATGCATTTCCCTAGATGAAGAGAATGATATACCTTTATGTAGAACATACCGTGAAATATCCAGGCATAACTAGTATAGATAAGCGTACGGTTCTAGCTAAAATAAGGCTGCAATGCTGTGCTACTTGACACATATTTCTTCACTCGTACAAATAGTAATCTTGAGATGGATGGCCACTTGGTAATTCAAACAGGATTTTCAAGAAAACGTTTTATTTCATTTTTTCCCAGCCACGAAGTCTTTCTCGGGGTCGATCCGGATCACCAGTCAGAGCTTCACGGCGGACCTGGCCGACACGACATCTGCTGCCTTACAAAACTCTGGCCGCTTCTAGTTAAACTACGGTAGGTACTTTTACCTCTCTATTCTGCATTAGTTTACATGACTACGGCTATGATGATAGTAATAAAAATCTTACCATATTTTGATCTATATAGGTTTTAGGCTAAGATACAAATTATTGCCTAGTTCACTTCATCTATTACTGCAATGGTTTTACTGACAGTTTCTTAACATGTTGATGCCTGAACATGTAAGTGTGCTGTAGGACAGACTAGAATGGACCAATAAAGTCGTAGCCTTTTTTTTGCAGCAGGAACGTCTACTAGAGTAAAGGTTCAAGTTCATGCAAATAATGATTAAATCTTCTGTTGTCTCTTCACAGCTTGACGACTTGTACACCTCCAAACTCGGCGATGCTTTCAAAGGCACGGAGGTGACCGGATTCAGTAACGGGAGTATTGTAACGGATTATAACGTGAACCTCGCGCCTAGCAGTAACGAAACTGCCGGCAGCTTGTCTACCGCGCTGTCCGAGGCCATACAGGACTCCGGCGGCGGAGGGGCCTTCGCGTTCGACCCCAGCAGCATCAGCGTTACTGGTGGGTTCTTCCTGTTATATATTGTAGGTTAGTTTAGGCTATGGCGGGACACCCCATAACCCCCTCATTAAGTTTCATTATTGAACAGATAGAAATTGAACAGAGGTCTATGTAACTCATACCAGGCATCTGGCCCTCTACTAGTTGCTAGTGGACAGGGGGTTATGGGGTGTCCCTCACCTCATTTTTAAAGTTATCTACCCAAGATTGTGGTGCTCAAAAATTATTTTTCTAGAACTCGTTGCCAACGACCACAGTAAGAGCATTCTTACGCTTGCGTTTACGTGACTTTTGTGCAAATGTTGGAGTGAAACTTCGTTCAGTGTTATACAAAAGGGTAGTTGTATACTGGCTGTATCAATACAGATACAGATACAGAAGTTTAGTTTAGCATTATGGTAAACTGTTGCATGGTGGTGTCGCGCCGTCTAGCGACATTTATTATGTCAGCAATCTGTACCAACTCCTGTACTTCTAGTATTCTATTGTCTGTATTTGGTATGCTAATTGTATACGTTATCCCATTCCGCAGATGTGGACGAGTGTGCCAGTGCAGGTGCGAATAACTGCCACATGCAGGCCACCTGTACCAACACGGAGGGTTCCTACACCTGTACCTGTAACACTGGCTACACGGACGCCTCTCTTACGGGCACCAAGGCGGGATCCGTGTGTGAAGGTGGGTGCTATCAACCAATCTATCAATAGATATATCGGTAAACTAATCTATCAATTATCAATTCATAAACCAATGTACTGGTTTATCAATAGATACACATGTACATGTAAGTTTTAGATCAAAAAATCAACAGGAATTTTAAAATCTTTTTATACTAAATTGTCATACTGACGTATATATTCTTCATAGATGGTAAATGTGATTACATCTGCGCCAGGAGTTTTAATTTGTCTTAAAGTATTTTCTACGATTTTTAGTGAAATTTACTTTGCATCTTAGTGAAAATATCCTGAGATATAATCTTTTTAAGTTCACTTTTCAATTAGGCATTGAACAGTTTGCTACACATAGAGATGTTGGGCATGTATTTGAGGTTGTGTCAACTGTTATGACTCTGGCAAGTGAACTGACAGAATTAACCCCCCCACACACACACATACACACCCTTCATGTTGTATTTCTCTACCACGATAAAGCATACATGTACCTGTAGCAGCCGTAAACCGATAAACTTGACCAGGTATCATCAATAGAAACATAATCATTATATACGGTAGCCTATTAAAAGTGTACTATCTGTTGAGATACCGGGTAGCTTGTGATGATATGTTTATTATAGATATATTCTATATGATGTGAAGACTGTTATAACTGTCATCTGAGCTCACAGAATGTACCCCCCCCCCTCCTCCTCCTCAGCTGTGAGACCGGCAGCTTCCGACAGTAACCTTGGCGTCGCCATTGGCCTGGGTGTGACGTGCGGCATTCTGGGTATCATCATCATCGCGGCCGTACTCTGGTACTTCATATCCTATAAAGCCAAGAGGGTAAGTGTACGAATATTTATGATATTATTAATATAACATTGGTCTTGGAAAAATGTTCAAGATTTGACTTCATATCATACAAAAGGAAGAGGGTAAGATTACAAATATTTATGATATTTGGTCTTAGAAAATGTTCAAGATTTAATCTGCACGACTATTCTCAAATCGACTTTTATATTGGCATATTTTGCTTCTATCATGAACTACTTTAGATATTAAAATTGGCTTTTAAGGAATTCAGATGTTTTCCGTTTGTCGTTTTATATATCAACTAACTGTTTTTTTTATTCCAGGGGTCAGCTAAAATCACACCCGAGTGAGAGCTGTAAATATGAGATGTCTTATTTGACCAATGTTCCTGTTTTGGATACACATGATAAATGCCGTATAAGAGGGATCTTTCTTCTACAACAAGGTTTTTCAAACGTTTCAGTGGCTGTATGTCACCTTCTTCAGGTCAGCAATGACTGCTTCTGATTCATACTGCAGCTAGATGTACCTGCTGCAGTGTTACAGACGCGGTTCCAAAAGTAAAATCTTGTTACATAATACATACACATTGTCAGGCACAGTGATGATATGCAAGTTTCAGTTACTTCTTAAGAATGCAGTCCCAAACGTGACTGAGTCTTTGCCCCCCCCTCCCCTCATCACGGTTCATGACTGCATTTTCTGATCCATATAGCCTCCTGTATCCAACAAGTGCATCTGTTGTTTTATCTATAAACTTAGCCAGGTTCAGGCAACAATTACTTGTTATGCTTTGTACTGCAGCTAGGTGTCGCTGCTGCAATATTACAAAGGCGGTACCAAACGTAGAGCGTTGTCACATAATATATACATATTGCCAAGCACAATAATAGTAAACAGTCAAGTTTTGAGTTACTTCTTAATTTAAGAATGTTGTACCAAAGGTGTCCCCCTCGTTACGGTTCATAACTTGATTGAATCTTCGTATCCATACAGCCTCTTTTATCCAACGAATGCCTGTGTTGTGTCCTATCTATAACCTTAGCCCCGCCCCAGCCTATTATGCAATTGTTTCTTGTGATGTGGTCTGCCACTGCTGATTTGTTTATTAATAAGTTCTTGCTCTTACGAACCTTCCCACTTTGACACTATCCGCCTCTTTCCTATGTCCTTCTAGTCTGCATCCAAATGTTCTCCCTGTCTCTCCTATGTACACCTTGTTGCAACTCACGCAAGCTATCTTGTATATGCAGACGTTTAGAAATTCTCTTTCAGATCAGCCCTTTTTCCCTAAGAAATTCTTTTTCAGATCAGAATTACAGGTCACTGATTACCTGGACTAGACATTCAGGGAAGTTTAACAACAGAAGAAAGAAGAAACTCAAGCAGAAGAGGTCACAAAGAAACAATAGAAGAAAGCAAGAGGAACTGTGAATATACCTTACATTGCAGGCATCATAGGTCCACCGAAGAGACTTTTCAAGAAACACAACAAAGCCACAGCCAAGCTCAAGCCAAAGACCGAAGGGAGAAGCATATACAAGATACCTTGTATATGAAGCCTTTTTTCCAGGAGAAATTATCTCTTTCAGAATCAAAGTTGCAGAACTGACTACCAGGACTGGGCATTTAAGACAGTTTAACAAGCCCAAGACCACATGCAGTAGTATATACAAGATACCTTGCATGAGTCAACCATGCAAGTTATCTTGTATACAGCCTTTCTCCCAGACATCATCTCTTTCAGATCAAGGTTGCAGGACTGACTACCAGGACTGGACATTTAAGAAAGTTTAACAAGCCCAAGACCACATAAGAAGTATATACAAGATACCTTTCATGAGTATACTAGTACCCATGAAAGTTATCTTGTATATGTAGCCTTTTCCCCAGACATTATCTCTTTCAGATCAAGGTTGCAGGACTGAATACCAGGACTGGACACTTAAGAAAGTTTAACAAGCCCAAGACAACATCAGAAGCATATACAAGATACCTTGCATGAGTCCACCCATGCAAGTTATCTTGTATATCCAGCCTTTTTTTCCAGAGAAATCATCAGGAGAAATTATCTCTTTCAGATCAAGGTTGCAGAACTGACTACCAGGACTGGACATTTAAGAAAGTTTAACAAGCCCAAGACTACATGAGAAGTATATACAAGATACCTTGCATGAGTCAACCTATGCAAGTTATCTTGTATATCCAGTTTTTCCCTGAGAAATTATCTCTTTCAGATCAGAGTTGCAGGACTGACTATCCGGACATTTAAGAAAGTTTAACAAGCCAAGACCGCAATGACAAGCATATACAAGATACCTTGTATGAGTATACTAGTACCCATGCAAGTTATCTTGTATATGAAGCCTTTTTTCCCTGAGAAACTATCTCTTTCAGATCAAGGTTGCAGGACTGACTAGTGCCAGGACTGGACACTTAAGAAAGTTTAACAAGCCCAAGACAACACGAGAAGTATATACAAGATACCTTGCATGAGTCCACCCATGCAAGTTATCTTGTATATCCAGCCTTTTTTTCCAGAGAAATCATCAGGAGAAATTATCTCTTTCAGATCAAAGTTACAAGACTGACTATCCGGACATTTAAGAAAGTTTAATAAGCCCGAGACTACATGAGAAGCATATACAAGATACCTTGCATGAGTCATCCCATGCAAGTTATCTTGTATATCCAGTTTTTCCCTGAGAAATTATCTCTTTCAGATCAGAGTTGCAGGACTGACTATCCGGACTGGGCATTTAAGACAGTTTAACAAGCCCAAGACCACATGAGAAGCATATACAAGATACCTTGTATGAGTATACTAGTACCCATGCAAGTTATCTTGTATATGAAGCCTTTTTTCCAGGAGAAATTATCTCTTTCAGAATCAAAGTTGCAGAACTGACTACCAGGACTGGGCATTTAAGACAGTTTAACAAGCCCAAGACCACCATGAGAAGCATATACAAGATACCTTGCATGAGTCAACCCATACAAGTTATCTTGTATATCCAGTTTTTTCCAGGAGAAATTATCTCTTTCAGAATCAAAGTTGCAGGACTGACTACCCGAACTGGACATTAAAGAAAGTTTAATAAGCCCAAGACCACATGAGAAGTATATACAAGATACCTTGCATGAGTATACCAGTACCCATGCAAGTTATCTTGTATATGTAGCCTTTTTCCCTTAGAAATTATCTCTTTCAGATCAAAGTTGCAAGACTGACTTAGTCTCTACCAGACTCCTTTGCAGGCTAAATAAATAGTAGAAATCGGCAAAGGGGGAAATCATTGGCCAGGGGAGTTTGTCGGCCATAGAGGGTCCAGTTTGCCATGTACAAGATAGCTTGCATGAGTTGCAACAAAGTGTACATAGGGGAGACAGGGAGAAAATTTGGATGCAGACTAGAAGAACAGAGGAAAGAGGTGGATAGTATCAAAGTGGGAAGGTTCACAAGAACACAAAATAAGTACGCTGTGAAAGGAGAGAACTTCAACAAATCAGCAATGACAGACCACAAGAAAAAATTGCTTGATAGACTGGGACGGTGCTAAGATTATAGATAGGACAATAGATGCACTCGTTGAATAAAGGAGGCTGTATGGATTAAAAAAATCCCACCCAATTATGAACCGTGAAGAGTGGGGCACCTTTGGGACAACATTATTAAGAAGTAACTAAAAACTTGACTGTTTACTATTACTGTGCTTGACAATATGTATGTATTATGTGATAACGCTCTACGTTTGGTACCGCCTTTGTAATATTGCATGAATGTACAATAAAGGTATTTCATTTCATTTTAATATTGCAGCAGCGACACCTAGCTGCAGTACGAATCAGAACAAGTAATTGTTGCCCTGAAGCTGGCTAAGTATATAGATAGGACAACAAATGCACTTTTTGGATACAGGAGGCTGTATTGATCAGAAAATGCAGTCATGAACCGTGATGAGGGTAGTGGGGCAAGAAACTTGAATACCATCACTGTGCTTGACAATATTTATAAATTATGTGACAACATGATATATACATAACATGTACTATATATTTCACAACAATATATATATATGTATATATACATGTTATGTATGCATACTATATATACATACTATGTATACGTTTGATGATCCATACATAGTATGTATGTATCACGTGACAGCATTCTACTTTTAGAACCGCGTCTGTAACACTACAGCAGATACATCTAGCTGCAGTATGAATCAGAAACAGTCATTGCTGCCCTGAAGAAGGTGACAGACAGCCACTGAAATGTCTGATGTGTAAATCCTGGCTGTTGAAGACAGAACCTTACTATACAGTCTCTTATTAGCCTGATGAAATCATTCGCACGTGTTTTGTTTTGTTTGTTTGTTTCGCATAACCGGTAAACCGCCTTCAGGCGTAACACACCAGTTTTGTACATGTGCGCACATGTACAAGCTGCGTAAGACCGGACTGTAAGTTTTGAACCACTCACACCGGTGTAAGAATGAATGCCAGGACTTTATCACAAAAATATGGATATTTGTTGTTAAACGAAGTTACTTTTATGGCTTTGTAAAGAAATGATTACTATTTGATAAATATAATAGATTTATTTCATTCTTTCATCTCTTTCATTTATTTTATGGCTTTGTAAAGAAATTATTACTATTTGATAAATATGATAGATTTATTTCATTCTTTTATATACACGTTGCTGTGAATTTGCCTGATTAGTTTTAGTTTACTTATACCAAGACAACTTTGCCATGTATATATGCATATCATGGGTATCTTAAGATAATACGTGTGTTTGTTTGTTTCTTTGTTTTACTCGACGTATATATAAGTGTCTAATATACACTTCTAATAATATGCTTTAAAAAGCTTTATTTTACTTTCCACTTTTAAAATATTTTACTACACTTGCTGTTCGTTTGTTAATCGTGGATTCATCAAACGCTAATAATTAATTAAATAAAAGTTTGTGATGGAAAGGGTTGTGTACTTTCTGTCTCCTTTTCAATGTGATCTTTTCAAATGAACTGTAACTTCTAGAATAAACGTTTGTTTTAGTGACAAATGGTTTTTGTTATAGTTAGCAGTAAACTTAGCACAATGTAGGTATCATTTCTTGTTTAACAAGGTTTATGATGTCAAAATTTGAAAATGTAGGAATCTTGTTTTTTCTGGTCCGCCTTGTTTTTTTCGCCCTATCTCATTAGATTTGGTGTTATCCATGCAATTTACTTGCTGTGGCCTAATCTAGAAACCTCATTGCATTCCAAAAAGAAAATTGGATCCATTGATAGACAAATACTACTCATAATTCATTGCTTTGTGCTTTTATTTGGAAGCGATCAGACAAGAGGGGAAAAGAAGGAAAGTTTAATGGTAATCTCACTGGATAAGGAGGTAGGAGTGGCGAAAATGAACGATAAAGTAAAATGGAAAGACTTGAAACCAGAAAGGAAGGGGATGAAGAATTGAAGAAAAAAAAGAAAGAA